CAGTGTTGTACATTTTGGATGTCCGAGCCTTTTTGAACTGTCCGGCGGACTGTCCGAATCTCATCTGGCTTACAAATATAATCTTAAAAATATACTCATATATGCAAAAATCAATTCTGAACAACTTTAATTAATAATTGAAGGCGGGTTACGATAATAAAATCTTGCCCTATTTAGTATTATTTAGTGTCAAACTCTGTCTGAGTATTGTCTAAGTTGTCTAAGTGACAACACTAGTTCAGGGCATGGATATTTCAGAAGATATTTTCACATTCGAGGAAGTAGCCGAAGCTATTTAAACTGATGAAGATTATGATATTGAGGGAACTGGTGATATTGATGAAGCTGTTGAGATCGATAACACTGATGAAATTGATGAATTTGGCGAATTTGTTGAAATTTATGAAAACGCTGAGAAAGAGACTAGTGAAATTAATGCAGCTAGAATATTGATAGATGAGGTTTATAATCATAAGTTTTATTATAAATGCTTTAAGTTTTTAGAGATAAAATAAATAAAACACATACATTTTTTATACATTACATATATATATATTTTTTACAAAGAAGGAACAATTTGATAATTTAAATAAAAATTTCATGAATACTATATACAATAATCCACAAAGTATATTTCCAGGACCTACGCATGAGCCACTAATTGATGATATAGAAGATAATTCAATAGACAGTAAAATTTTAGAGGAAGAATCCTTAGAATTTAAAGGGTTTGAAGGAGAGTACGGTCCATACTTTCTGACTTTTACATCTGCAATGTTATATATTTGGATCACAAAGCACATGATTTGTAAGTATTGTCGCATGAACTTTTACATTTGCGTCTAAAAAAGAAAATTTTTAATAAATTTCCTTTTTTAACTGCATATTTATTACACGATAATACATACCAGGTACTGGGCAGGGCTTCAGACACCATAGTAGTATGCCAGCCGTTTACTGCTTTGATACCAAGTATTGCTTTTGATCCATCAAATTAGAGTATATCATAATTTATTAATTGAATATAAATTAATCTATTAATTGAATATATTATAGAGAATTTACAAATAAGAGCCCAGAAAGTGAAAATAATTACAAGTACGGGCCCAAATTAAAAAATAATTACATAATAAATATTACATATAGGGCCCAAATCTGAAAAAACAGATCACAAGAGTATCACAAGCTTATAACGATAGCAAAATCGCGATTATAGGATTATCGATTGTTGTATTGTAGATATTTAGAGTTATCTATATATTAATTATTAGATACAAGGATAAATGAAGTGCTAGTTATAATCACTTTCGCTCAATTATCCATAAGGTGAAGTTTCAACAGAGTAGTCTCTAAGCTAAACGAACTTCTATATTAGTAAATGTCATACAAATTCGCAATGTTTACTTGGCATCATGTGGTTTGTTTATAACAATAAGCAATTTCATACAAAGAAAATTAAATTTATTAAATTTAAAAATTTTCTTTTCAA